GGAATGTCGTATGTCACAGAGGTTTTGTTTATGAAGATGTACCACTTGCTTTTCCCTAGGTGGAAATGAAAATGAAGAAAAATCTGAAGTTCAAGCAATCATTGAGTCAACTCCAGAGTTGGACATGGATAAAGATCTCAGTGGATATAAGGGTTCCAGGTTAGTTGTGTGTTGCGATTGAGTAGGAAGACCAATTTTAGAAGGTACCAGACTTGAGTTTTGAACTTGTGACTGGTTTAGAAATTTTACCGGACAGATCATGCATTGTATAATGAGTCTCCTACTTCTGTGACCTTATTTCCCAAAATTCCTCAGGAAGTTTTAAGTACAACAGCAGTTCTTCATTCTGTTGCTACACCTGATGAATGTTCAGGATATTTGATATTACAGCACACTTCAGATATTTATGTATTTCATATATTTAAACCAAAAGGCCTTGTTGCCCTAGATCAACGTTTCAAGGTACTAGCAGTTTCCAAGCTGGGCCCTTGTGTTTTCACTTGTATCTTTAAAATCTGGATTTATGGCTGACTTTGCAAATGTTACAGCATTTATTTATCAGATTCTGATGGTGAAATCCCAGTGCTGACGGAATGCTTTTGCCTGAGTTGTCTTCCTTGCAGGCTTTTGCTTGTGAAAGGATCGCATTTCTTTCAAAAGCTCTAAAGCCCTGCAAAAAATAAACAGGTGCTGTTTTTGGGGGGCGGGGGGGGGATGTGGGGTAGGGGTGTGTGTGCCTGATATTTTAGGCAATTTTGGTTCTAGCCCCAACTGCTTCAAATGTGTTATGTGTGCGTGTTTCATTTTTGTGATTGAAAAAAATTTCTGCATATAGTGAATGTTAATGGCATAAGATCTTTGTGTAAAAGGAGCCCCTTTTCTGGCCAGATGAATATTTTGATCTCTATTTGGTTATCTTGCATTCTTTTTATATTGAATGACTTCCAGTTTGGCTGAGCTGTCTCTTCTTTAGGCATTTGTACTGACCAATTCCTGTTGGGGCTGAATTTCTATATGCCAAAAACTTGATACGCTTTAAATTATTAAAATCCTGGCCAACTCAGTATCAGCAGCTATCTCAAGTTTGGGAACTTGATGCCAAAGTAGTATTTGAAAATGGAATCTAAGACTCTAAGCCAACTGAAAGCTGCTGAGAATTTTACTTCTGTGGTTTTTTTGGGGTAACAAATGAACTACTGGTAAAAACACAGAGAACTTTCTTCGTTGTGGGAATATTTTCTTTCTGCTTTTTTATATCTTGTTTTAATTCTTTGAATAGCACTCCTACCAAAGGCATAGAGAACAAAGCATTTGACCGTAATACAGAGTCACTCTTCGAAGAGCTGTCATCTGCTGGTTCTGGCCTAATTGGAGATGTGGATGAAGGTGCAGATTTACTGGGTAAGAAAGGTTATGTAAAGATGCTGTTTGCTGTTTACAGGAATTTTCCTTTTTAGTGGAGTGCTTAATTATCCTTGCTGGATTTACTGTTAGGATTCATTTGCATTAAAATCTTTTGAATATCATCCTAAGGTAGTCATTGGAATGCAAAGAACAGGAGAAAGTGTTTGTTCTTTCTTTCAATGTAACGATACCAACCTTAATCTTTTGGGGCACTTCTTACACTATTCTCTATTTGTTTTCCCTATGTGTTCTCTGACATAAGGATTTTTATTTCAAGCAAGGATTTTTATCTTGAACTAGTTTTAGGTAGTTTAATTCAGATTGTGCCCAATCCGTAATGGCCTGGCTTTATCACCTCTCTATGGAATTTAACTTGTAAGAGAGAATTGCAGCAGAATGTGATGGTGGTAATTAGAGAATCAAACCATTAATTGAAAGGGGAAGGGGAACCCACATTTCTCTTTCCCCTAAGCAGCTAGCTGCTATTTGTGTGCTGACCGAACAAAATGTAAGTTTTGGGAATATGAGTTGATCAGGAGCAAAAAGGTTGTTAAAAGAAGGATATTTCTGTAAACAACATAACAAGATATTTTTGGCCATATCAGTGTTAAGACCTCATTTTGAAATAATGAAAGCTGGTACTATGGAATGTATAAAATGCAGATGCAACTCTTGTGTGTTTTAGAAATGAGCTGTATACAGAAAATCAGCAGTTTGTTTGCCTCTGTTGTCTGACCTGGCAAAACTGCAGATTGTTAGTAGTATTATTTAGAACTGTTGTATGTGCAGTCTGGATTTCTGGTTGTTCAGTGTTCCACAGAAACTTACTTTACATCAAGTAGGTGACATTTCTGTGAAGCGTTACTCCCTAGGAGTAATGGGCCTATCTCCAGTCTGAGAGGTGGCTTTTCTTTATTGTCACTCTCCACTGCTTTGAATCCTGAGCAGCAAGAACCACCACATCCTTGCTGGAACTTACTTATCCAAAACTCTTGCACTCTTTTGTTAACAGGGACAACTAATGACACATTCTGCATGCAAAAAATTAGGTACTGGAGAAGTATTAATATACAGCAACTTCCATCCCTTAGCTATGTGATAAATTGTTTAAAGAAATCAAATTACTGTCAGGAATTCCTGATAATAGATGCTTTGTTTTCCATGGGCAAAAATAGTATACTTTTTAGTATAGTGTATCAAAAGTTTGTCATTGACTTCATTACCATTTTCTGTAAAACTACTGCTAGAAACACTGGTGTGTGCAAAATGAACACATTGTTATAACTGCATTTGTTATGCAGAATGTGTTGTCTAGAAGTTTTACTATATAATCATCATTTCACTTTGAGCACAACCATGGTCCAAAATACTCTGTGTTACTTGAAAGCCACATCTGCATCCAGGATAGTCAGTGTGTTTCAAGCATTTAGATCTGTTCTAAGTGAGCATTAAACTTTAGTTTGGAGTTCTGTAAAAGTAGTTAATTGGGATTCTCTAATCTGTTTTCTCTTGGGCTGCATACCCAGGGGAATATTCTGGTGTGTATGCTTCTTTTTTAAAAAAAATTCTTTGAAATCTGTTGCTTCTACGGTTAGGTGTTCTTGGCTGCTGCTCTCATAAAATACATTCTCTGCATTTTTTCCCTGCTTGGTAACTTTTTTTTTGCCTTTGCACTCTGGCTTTCTAGTTTTTGTTCTTGCACTATAAAGGATCCTGAAACCTGTTGGAAATGGTCCTAGGTACTTTTATCGGTGAATATTGAAAATATTTAAAAAGCAATAGCCACTTGAATAAAATCTCTTAATGACTGTAGTGTGGGTGATTTCTCCAGTTGTTGGTAAATTAACAATAGCTGATCCAAGTTCCTTCACTGTTGAATGTCATTTACTCTTAATCCAAAACCCAGAGAGAAATTCCAGGAGAGGGAACTTTGGCTTGCATGTCTATTTTTAGATACCTTTTTTATTGTTATCCAAGTATCTTTTAAGTCTTCTGTTACCGAAGTTGCTTAGAAGATTGTGTTCCTAGAGCATTTTAAAAGGCCTCCACCATTAAGATCTTTCATTTTTTGTTTTAATCTTGGATTAATTAGCATAATTTCTGCCTTTATCAGTGTGGTAATTATTTTGCCGTGCAAGATGTGAAATAATTATTTTCTGCCTGAAATTTTACGGTTTTTACATCTTGCAAATTATATTTTTTCAGGCATGCAAACAGTAGGATGAGAAATCAATTTCCAAAAATTTAAATAATATTAAAGTAGCTACATGAAGAGTTAAGTTCACATTTTTCCACAGTAGCATATTAATTTGAAACTTTTACTGAATGTCTTAGCATTTCTTCCCAGTACCGTACTTCTAAATTATTTCACAGAAAATGAGATAGACTTTTTATTAAGTTACTGTTTTTTTTATAAGAGGTCTAACCAATAGAAATGGTTGTGACAAACCGAACTCCTTTAACGTCTGTCTTTCATATAAATTCAGCTTCTAATCATATCACATTCCACTTCAGATTTTTGGTGGTGGCTTCGTTTTAATTCACTTTTACTTTATAAGTCTAAATCTTTTATTGCTCTTCGCTCATACTACACCTTACATGAAATGTTTCTTGTTCTTGTTTTTGCTCTACATGGAATGCATGGGCTTTAAAGACCATAATTTCTTTGGTAAGGTATCATTTGCTCTGGGGAAATCTGCAGGGCTTTCACAGTCTGAGCTTTGTAATTCAGCATGTCTTGTGTCTATAATGGTATACTTTTGTATCTAAGATGGTATAAAGGACAGTTGAGCATTTTAAACTTAACTTTTTGTGGACTAATACTTCTCCAGTAATGCTGTGTTTGTTTTTTGACTTAATAGTACTGTAACCCCTTCAAAATACATGGACTAGGTGGAGGTAGCACTAACCACTAAACTGCAGTTAGACAGGGTGACCTTTGGGCTTTGATTGAAGCCAGATTGGGAAGAAGGTGGAGGGGAAAGCTAGTTGTAGAAGGTAGGTTGGTCCTGAAACTTCAGATAGCTCATAGTTTTTCTGACAAGTTTGTTATGCTTAAAATTCAGGTGGTTTTAGACAATGGCAAAACATAGGTTTTGTAAAAAACATCCATTTTTATCTGCTAATTTCATGTTTGTTTCCTTTGGAAAGGAATGGGTCGTGAGGTTGAAAACCTTATTTTGGAAAACACTCAGCTGTTGGAGACAAAGTAAGTAAGAACGTGTATGTAAAAATACTGACCTTCACTGTTATTTTGTTATCTTCAGTATCTTCATACATAGGAAGTTGAAATTGTACAAACGTGCTTTCAGTTCCAAGAGTAGTGGTGGTATAAGTATTTTGAATTTGTATGCATATTTGGCTAAATATATAGCTTAGTTGGTATTCTTCTAGAAATTAAGGACCTAAGAAGCCAAAGCTGCTTTTATCCTTTTAAGGCTACAAGAAGTGCAGTGTTATGTCCTAATGAGATGAACTCCTGTCTTTTCTGTTAGAAACAAAGCTGTAACTGCAGAAGCTAATCCATTGGAGCACTCTTGAAGAATTCAACCTCTAAGCAAACTGTTCTGATTTATCAGTACTTTTTTTTCCTATTACAGAGGTGTTTGAGCATTTGAGACTTGGGGGAAGAGGGTTTGACCCATTTTAGAAAGCTGTATCTTGTTACAGCAGCTCTATATAAAAACTTTGTAGATCTTCAAGAATAAAATCAGTCTGAGGCTAAACTGAGACGATAGTCATCCTTGTAACGGTGTATTTTAAATGTTTGTGTAGAAATGCACTGAATGTAGTGAAGAATGATTTGATAGCAAAGGTGGATGAATTGACCTGTGAGAAGCATGTACTACAAGGTGAATTAGAGGCTGTAAAACAAGCAAAACAAAAGCTTGAAGAGAAGAATAAAGAACTGGAAGAAGAGCTAAGAAAGTAAGTTTAATTCCATGGTTGTGAAAAAGAAAGAAAAAAACCCCACTGTGGTATCTAATGTAACTATTTTTTATTTTGCGTTTAGAGCTCGTGCAGAAGCAGAGGAAGCAAGACAGAAAGCTAAAGAGGATGATGATGTAGGTGTATGTGTATTTGTTTGTGTAATTCACAATGGGACATTAGAAGCTCACATGTATTTACTGAGTGCTACTAAACTTTACTGCTTAATAAGTAGCAGTAAACTTCCTCCATGTATAGGAAAAATAAAAGATCTAAAAAGCACAAGTAAACTTAAACTGACCATGTCTAGTTTTCTTTCTTTCCTCTCTGCCCATTATTGTGTGCCATGTTCTTTTTGAAGAACTATTTTTATTCAGATTGTACTACATACAAAGGATGGGAGGAGAGAGGAAAGTGAAATTGAGTTAGTTTTACAAAGCCCCAAATGATTTGGAATCTGGAATTGTGCCCTAAACTGACTCTTATCGGAAGGCAGAGGCTGACTCTGCAAGGCCCTACTGTGCTCCTTTGTTTATCCTGTGTTTGCTTTTTTGTGTGCTCAGAGTGATGTCCCCACTGCTCAGCGGAAGCGTTTTACTCGTGTTGAAATGGCCCGTGTTCTGATGGAAAGAAATCAATATAAAGAGAGGTTGATGGAGCTTCAGGAAGCTGTCCGATGGACTGAGATGATAAGGTAAAATGCTCTTTTAAAATTGTTGATAGAGATCCTTGGATCTTACAAGCTTTTGATTTTTAGCTGCAGAGTGATCTGATCAGTAGGTTAGGTTATGAGGCCTTAATTGCCCTTCTGTGTGTCTTCCCTACATGCCCATGAGTAACTTTCTTTCTAAGTTATGGGCATATAACTTAGCTTGTCAAAATGGTTCTTGGTGAGACCTCAGTGAAGATGTGTATGATGTGAAATAAGAATGCCTTGAAGAAATGTGCGTATTTTGGAATGGTTACAAAACTTGGTAATTGTAAATAATTATTTGATGGGCAGGAAAAAGTACTGTGTGTATGTGTGCACATACCTCAAAGCAGTAGCCCTGGTTGTCAGCTGAGATGTCAAAACAGGAATTACAGTCTTTAGATTGAGTGTAATCCATTTGTAAGGAGTTGGGTTGTTTGGGAGAAAACACAATTTTAAAACTGTGCAAAGTTTGTTAAATATAAGCAATAAAGATGGTGATTTGGTCTAATTTGCATCCTGAATATTGAGTTTTCTGGAAGGTGTGATTTTAAAAACAAAAGTCTTCTGCCTCAGACCTCAGCCCAGCTCATTCTTGTCACACCTCCCAAACCGTGTCCATGTGCAGAGGTAACGGTGTCCTTTGGTGCTGCCTGCCGGACAGGTACAGCGATGGCATTTAATTTCTTCTATTGTCCTCAATACCTGTGAGCCATTTGGACTCTGTGAGAGGAAAAATACATATTCCCAAGCAGATGTGGCTTGCTCTTCCATAGCTGTTGTCTTCTGTAGAAATCCTTTCCTATCTCTGTTAATGCATCTATGACTTCAGGAACAATCACTTTATCATTTATTGACCAATGTTTTGAAGAATAAGAGGTTTTAAAACAAAAAGCAATGGTTAAAATATTAAAAAATAGGATGCAGAAAAATTTAAAATGGTTTGCTGCTTTCTTCTAGCTGTTTTCATTGCAAAGTGTTACACAGATTTGTCTCTTCTGTCTGAAAAGCACTCAGCAGTTGTTTGTGATGCAGATAAATGTAGATGATGTTTATTATGTAACCTCAGTTAGTCTAGTAAGAATTTCAATATTGTGCTCTGAGACAAGAAGTGGCAATGTGAAGAAACAGGCTTTGATACTTCCGATATGTTATCCTGGTATTTGAAATAAGAGTTACACGCTGTTATGTTCCTTTCCTTTTTTTAATTAATGCTTACTCAGTAAACTTGGAATTCATTTCTTGTAGAGCATCAAGAGAAAATCCAGCCATGCAAGAAAAGAAGAGATCAAGCATTTGGCAGTTGTAAGTATTGAAACACAACTTACTGGCAAAAATAAATAAAAGACCCTAACCAATTAGCTGGCATACTGTTGTATGTTAGCTAATTATCTTTTGGCAGATGAAGATGATCTTAACTGTTCTCCTCTTCTTACCTAGCATGCCAGCTCGGTAAGACTGTTCTTGAAGACAAAGTGTATCGTAAGCTGCATCACGTAGTGAATGGCTGTGCACTTTGTGAAGTTAAATGCCAAAGTGCTGTAATTTTTTTTTCTAGCTGAATATGCACCAGGACTATTGTTCTGAACGTTTTTCTGGGTTCTTTTTTATGATGAAAAATAGAAACCTGAATAGCTCGTGTGGATTGCATTTATTTCAGCTTCCTTTTCCCTTATGAAGTATGGCTTAATGATTGTTAAATTTTCTGTTCTAACTTCAAGGTCTTTAAATCTGAAACACATCTAAAATGTTATTCACCACAAGATATTTGTCAAATAATCCTTTCGATGTTGTGGCTTGCTGGTAACTATTCTGTCTTTTAGCCTAGAAGATGGTGGGTTTTTTTAAGTGCTCTGTGCATGAACTAATATGCTTCATAAAACTGTCTTCCAGGTGTGATGTTCACATCCTAATTTTGTTGGTTCCCTATAGATGTTCATTCAAGCTGAAGATCCCATTAAAATTGATAAACAGATGGGATAATAATTCTTCAAGAATTTTTCTTACTGACATGGGTTTCTGTGCTTTGAGAGTATTGCTGAGTGTGTGGTGGCTGCTGCTATGTTGGGCTCCAGTTTCTTAGTCTAACTGGCTTAAGCAGGCTAGCATATGCAGTGTTTTGCCTGCATAGTCAAATTTGGATGTATCTTAAAAATCTCAATGCTCATCTGTCTTTTTTTTTTCTAGTTTTAGCAGGCTCTTCAGTTCATCAAGCAATACAGCTAAGAAACCAGAACCTCCTGTCAATGTTAAATACAACGCTCCAACCTCGCATATTACTCCATCAGTCAAGAAAAGAAGCAGCACCTTATCTCAATTACCGAGTGACAAATCTAAAGCCTTTGAATTCCTCAGTGAAGAGTAAGACATTTTGGTTTTATAATACTAGATGTGCTCTATGAAGTATTTACCCTTTTAATCTTCTCTCCTGAAATTAATGTTGTTACATAAGAAATCAACATTGCACAGACTGAAATGTGCAGCAGTGGATGAGTACTCTGGGTGCCTGGCAGTAGAATTCTGTTTGGTAAATATCATTGCCTTTCGTAAAAATGCTTTTAGGCACAGGAGGCAGCACTTGCTACACTTTTATATGCAAGTGTTTTAGCTATGCAATTGACTGTACAGATACTTTCAGTTTAAGTTCAATGGAAAAATAGAACAACATGAATCAGCCAACAAGTGTCTGTAATTTATTTTTTTACTGTGCTTCTTTTTGGCAATATTATCCTTTTGGTTTACAACTTTCAAAGCTTCTAGTAGAGGTACATAACCCAAGTTAACTTTCTTTAAGGATACTGACAACAGACCTCCTGGTTTTGCCTGTCTTTGACAGATCCCTTAGTTAGAAATAGCCCACAGGAAACCTGGTGTTCTACAGGTGATTTCTGAAAAACTAGTCATCTCTTTGGTAACCCAGTGCTCCCACAGAGATATTTTCTATTGAGTTTAATAGTAACTTCCATTACACAAAGAATTCTAAAGAGCATAAATAACAGGTTCTTTAACAATGATTTCCCTAGAACTGAAGCCAGTTTAGCCTCACGCAGAGAGCAGAAGAGAGAGCAGTATCGCCAAGTGAAAGCACATGTTCAGAAAGAGGATGGTAGAGTGCAAGCATTTGGCTGGAGTCTACCTCAGAAGTACAAACAGGTATTACGCTTATGTTTTCAAACGTACTGGTAACAACTTCATGTTTTGTGAAATTTGAACAGAGTATAGTTTCATAGCTTGTGTTTGAGTGATTCCAGCATTTTTTTATGCTGAACTTTTGCAGTTACGAGTCTGTCTAAGGAAAATCACAATGCAAAGCTCTTGATCGTGTTTAACAAAGTCTAATCAACTGATTTCCGAAGACTGTACAGCTCTTTTAAAGGGGCAAGCTTTTCTGTTTTATTTTTGCCTAGGTGGCAAATGGTGGCCAGGGTGACAATAAAATGAAGAACTTGCCTGTACCTGTTTACCTGAGACCTTTAGATGAGAAGGATACCTCTATGAAGGTAGGATATTTACAGTGATGATATAGAGACTTGGACAACCTATAGCTTTAATATTTTTATTTTACACTCAACTATTTTCTTTTTGAAACAAAGATGTTTATTTTTAAAGCATAGGTGAATCGGAATTTAAGCTTCAGTAGGAATGTACATGACTTTAATCTTAATGAATTCCTTAAAATGGATTGTGGATATATAATAATTTTTATATTACTTGGCATATTTGACAATGGGTGTGTCCTTTTTTTTTAGTTGAACATTTAAGTGAACTATCTATTTTTCTTTCAAGCTGTGGTGTGCTGTAGGAGTAAATCTATCAGGAGGGAAAACAAGAGATGGTGGGTCCGTGGTTGGTGCTAGTGTATTCTACAATGATGTGACTGGTATGGACGCAGACGGCAACAAGCAGCAAACAGGATCTCAAAGTAGCTTAGATAGACTAGACCAAGAGCTCAAGGTAAGGTTACTGTAAGGCACGTTGAATAGTTTATATAGTTAAACATCTTTACCATATATCTGTAGATTAATAAAATATTTTGTAATCAGGTTTATTGGTAAGGAATAGATTTTTCTTGGGCAGTCATCAGCCTGAGATATTTGCATTACTGAATCCAACTGCAAAAATACTGTGATTCTTTCCTGTGTGCCAGCTTGTTGGCAAATCTGAAGAGCAAATCAATTTTACATCAAAATAATGCACTGCTTATACCAGTGCGGCCTGCTTTAAAAAACATTTGACAGAATTGTTCATGTTCTGACTGCCATTTTAAAGAAGGTTTTTTAGATATCTGTGCCATTGTTTACACATGTTGCTGCTTCATGAAAACATGAAGACTAATGAATGGAATTCACATTAAGGGCATAAAAACAAAAGCTTAATTTTGAAGTGCTTTGGGACATTGCATTACTCTGTGGCAATACTGAGTATGGTAGCTGGCACATAAATGGTGTTTCTTAGCTTTATACTTGTCTAACGGTATAATTGTGCAGTATAATTATTTCCTGTAATTTTCTACACGAATATGAAATACAAGGGTTTTTTATGTTCCAGACACACAGAGAACAATTAACTATATGTAATTTTACAATGGCATTAAAGATACCTAACTTATCACATATTTATATATATTTCTGTAGTTAATGTAAAAACATACAAGATCAAAGGCAATAGTTCTATTCTTGTCCTTCTTCCTGTTGTTGTTCACTTCTATTCTACCTTTATTCTCCTTCAGGACCAGCAGAAGGAGCTGAAACATCAGGAAGAATTATCCAGTCTGGTTTGGATCTGTACTAGCACACATTCTGCTACAAAAGTTATCATTATTGATGCTAATCAACCAGGAAATATTCTGGACAGTTTCATTGTTTGCAATTCTCATGTGCTTTGTATTGCTAGTGTACCAGGTAAAGACTTGTCATGTTTTAGCTCCTGCTCTTTTAACTGTATTTTATTCGGATTTTCTTATGCAATGAAAAACCAAAGATTTGTTAATTAGTGTGATGAATTGTTACTGTAACATAGCAATAAGTAGTATTTAATTGTAGAGAAAACTATTGGATTTCTACTCTACTGTTCCACGCTTCAGTTGGCCTTTGACCTAAACTAACTCAAAGGTAGAGAGATGTCAGCAGCAAAGACTAAGTATTTTGTTTGCTGTATTATAAGTTGTGCAATAGTACTAGTTTTTTATGGAACTGCAAACATCACAAAAGAAAAAATATGTTGGGTTTTTATGCTGCTTCAGCCTCTTGAAGAGAAGTAGCAAGTCTTAGAGCTTCCTGCAGAGGGAATCCTTGTTACGTTGAGAGTGTATGTGGACAGTGTACTGAGGAAAGTTTAATGGGAGGGTATTATGACTCTGGAGAAGAACTGATTGTGCTTTTGGATTTCTTGTTTCTTGGCTTACACTTATAGAAGTCTGTAGCACTAGTTCCAGTGAAGTAGTTTTGTTTAAGCTCAGAACAGCTCTCTTTCCAGTGAAGTCTGAGGTTTTGGTCCATTGAAACTATGTATAACTTGTAAAATCAAAACAGCATAAAATATAGTAAAATACGATAAAAATTTCAAGAAACCAAGAAAAATATTTGAAGTTGTAAAAGTATTTGAGAGGGTTGTATGAGAGAAAAACAGCTTTTCTTCCAGAACAAAGGATCTATTGCAGTTAAAATCTTCATAAAGATGTAGATAGGTATCCCTGCATATATGCACTGTTATGAAGTCTATTTTTAATGGAAAATTATTTGAAATAGAAATAAAGTAGCTGGAAAACTCTGCAGATTGAAATATGGCATATGACATTCAGATGTGCAGCATGTGTAGATACAGCTTTTGCTTTTTGAGCTTCGTGACAGCACCTTTAACGTCTGCTGATCATGTTAAAATAAGCTTGTAGATAGGTATCTGCATATTAAATCTCAATTGCTGGAGAGTTGATTTCAGTTTGAAGCTTACTTTGTTATTAGATAGAAAAGTGATTCACCTTTATCTCCATGAGAAATGTGAGTTTAATCTCTTTCAGGGGCAAGGGAAACAGACTATCCTGCAGGAGAAGAAGGGTCTCAAGAAGCAGATCCCAATCAAGTGGACAAGTCATCTCTGTGTGGAAGTATGACTAGCAACAGCTCTGCAGAAACTGATAGCTTGCTAGGAGGAATAACAGTGGTTGGCTGTACTGCAGAGGGTATCACAGGAGCGCCTGTAGCTCATGATGCAAACGGTGGCTCACCAATGACAGATAAACAGTCAGGTATGAAAATCTTACAAGTATGCCAGGGATGGCCAAACACCATTTGCTGTAACTGAAAAATGAATGGTTTAAGTATTTAATGTAATAGCTTGTCTGTAAGTGGTGGTAACATAGAATGAGTACTGTCTGACATATTTACACTGTATAATTGTAGCAGAAAACTTTGTGGAGGTGATATGAAATGGGTATAGACAATTGCTTCTTTCAAATACTTTGGAGAACTCTTATCTTGTGCATGGTCTAAACAGAGCTTTTAAGTTATTCGGTATTTGAAATGCAGATATTGTTGACAAATGACTAGAGAGAATGCAGATCATACGCCTTAAATCTTGTGAAGTCTTAATAGAGATTTAAGTGAAGCTGCTTACTTTGTAGGCATTCTTAATATTTTCTGTCACGCCCTTCAGAGCTGTATGGTGGTATGATTGTTAATGGATATGTGGTTGTTGGAGTTGTTCACTGCTATTCTAGTTAATTACTTAAAGGGCAATCTGTGCCATCAGTCACTGGGTTCATATTTAAAGTGCATTTGACACTTGTTGATACAGTGCAACCTTCTAAAGTTTGGGTGTTCCCGATCTGATTTTTTTAGATGAAATATAAAATCTGGATTGTGACTGTCTGGTTATTACAGTTATTCACTTAAGTTTTGAGTATCAACTTCTGGCTGTTCTAAGTAATTGAAAATTCTCTTGCAGTTGTTAAAGGTTTTTCAAATTTTTTCTTCCATAGATATTGCAACTGAAAGTAATTCAGTAGATGAGAACATTCCAACAGCAGAGGAGGCAACAGAAGCAACAGAAGTCAATGCAGGGACAGGAGAAGACACAGCTGATATTGCACAAACTGGAGTCTACACAGAGCATGTCTTTACAGATCCTTTGGGAGTGCAGAATACAACAGAAGCGTCTCCAGTGTACCAGCCTAGGTACATAATCTCAATCCCCATACCTCTTAAAATGTATTTAAAAAGAAAAATATAATGTTTGTAGGAACGCAACATGGGGACAAAATGACTCTTTTTTTCTTGTTAAGTATGTTGAGGTTTAGGTGTAAGTAGTCTTTGGTTCAAGACACTCTACGCTTTGCTTGCGTGAAAGGGTCACCTATGTACAGAGTCTTTTGTCTGTGAACTCGTATTCCTTGAGCAGAGACACCTCCAGAATGGAGTAGTGAGTGTCTACCAGTTTGTCACTAAGCCCTCTCACAGACGTAATGTGAATTGTGCTGATCTAGAGATGCCCATTTAATTCCCTGTTTTGATGTCAAAATAAATAAGAATTACATTCCTTTCTTCTAGTCAACTGGGTGTTCAAATGTTTGTTTCTTTTCTCAGAATAGTCAATCTGTGAGTAGTTATAGGAGCGGAGAAGAAGCTTGAAAGTAGTCAGTATTTCAAATCTTCAGGAATCTGCACTTTCCACATACAGGCTCAAAAGTATCATGCAACTTTTTTATAAGCAATTCTCTTAACATGTGCCTCTGATGTTGCAACTCTCTTCTGCCATTCCCCAGAGATATCAGCAGTACTGACAGGCTTGAATGGAACTTAAATTTCCTTGTATAAGTAAATGTCCACTTGAAGAAATTAATTGGTAGTGAGGTTTTCATCTATATCATTGTACTTTCATACACAGTTACTGTTTTTTTAAATACCTTATGTACTTCAAAAGCCAGTGTGGAAACTAGCAGCAATTAGGTTATAATCTGAGTAATCTGTGCATTTTATTCAATGTATTTTAACTTTTTTTTTAGTACTGAGTCAGAGTTATATAAAGACATTGCAGTTTTGCCAAATGAGCAAGATCTAGTGAGAGAAGAAGCACAGAAAATGAGTAGCCTTTTACCGACAATGTGGCTTGGAGCACAGAATGGATGGTAAGAAAATGCTCATCTTGTTCAATTTATTTGGAAAAATTATTTTGAACTTGCTTCTTGTGCCTACAGGCCTGATAACTGTCTCGAGTCAAGATTAAGTGCAAGAAGACCTTAAGAGAGCCTAAACTTTGTACGCTTTGCTGCATTTAGGCATTATAGAATTCAAAGAAAGTATTGTAGGTGATTACCAAGCTCTTTTTGGCGAATAACACTTTTATCTGCAGAAGAGTTTTGGTTGGATTTTTTTGTAGTCAAATTGTTATGCTCTGATAATTCCATAACTTCCAGTATTTTTTAATGCTAGAAAAATATTTTGCCCTTTTTACTGCAGATATATCTGAAAAGGAGTTGGTAATGTTTTAGGCCTCTGAAAAACCATTCTGCTGCTCATGTATAGACTGAAAGAAAGAACTACATAGTTTTCAGCAGAAGATGAAAACTTAATTTTCCCTTTGATTGTGGATTTCAATTATAGGGGTTTTGCTTGGGTGTTTTTCCTGTCTACCAGACCTTTCTTAGTGCTTTTAATCCCTCCTGATTTGTCTTTGCAGCCTATATGTTCATTCGTCAGTGGCGCAGTGGAGGAAATGTGTTCATGCCATTAAACTTAAAGATTCTATTCTCAGTATTGTGTAAGTCCTGAAAGAAATGTCGTGTAAATCGTAATGAGCTTTTGATAAAATACTTGCAAAGTCATTTTATATTTCCTCCTCAGGTATTGGGAATATCAGTTGCCATAAATGCATGCTTATTCTTTGAGGGGTAGTGGAAAATGTTTGGGGAGTAAGAAAAATAAAAGGAATCTTGTATCTATCGGAAATACTACAGCTCAAATGATGAGCTGTAACTGTATACTTCGTCTTCTTGATAGCTGTATACTTGAAACAGTTGTAGGTTGTTATCCTTGATGTTTTCTTCAGGTGTAGCTAGATATATTTTAAGCTTTCTCAACTGGATTTTGATGCCTTAATATTGTCCCTTCTCTTGAGCTATGTTGTAGAAATCACAACAGTAGAGCTAATGTGAATATAAAATTATGCTGAAATATCAAATGTTTATACCTTACTTGAAACTTGCAGTTTGAGAAATGCACTCTAATGGTGTATATTCTTGTGCTTCCTTTTTTTCCCCTAGACATGTAAAAGGAATAGTATTAGTTGCACTAGCTGATGGAACACTGGCAATATTTCACCGAGGAGTTGGTAAGCATTCTATTAGATCTTGAAACCAGTGAAGTTGTAACAGTCTTTAGGAAAGAAATATGCCATTATAAATAGTGTTTTGAAAATGGATTCCCCAATGGCCTTTTTACAGGTTGTCTTGAGAAATCTTTCTAGTGTTTCAGTTGCAGTTTCAAGTACCATTTTTGCACTGTCCTCCTGGTATATTCCTGGAATTTTTTCTTACTCTGAGAAGGAGAATAAGATATATCTGAGCTAAATAGTGAAGAACCAGTTGATAAAGTCTGTTTTGATCATAGTCTCTTTTGCTTTTTGTTGTTTGTCTTCTGTTTTGTTATTAGTGTTAATATTAGTGTTAATAATTGTCTGTGGCCAAGTCCTTCAATGAGAATTTTGTAAGCATCCCTTCAGAATTTCTGCCCAAACCACTCTTGGATGAGCTCCATTCCTCAGCCTTCAGAATAAGGACAGGAAGGTCTTACTATGAGTAACTGGAACTTATCTGTTGGCTTGTTTCCACAGACTTCCTATTCATTTGTTCTTTTCCTTGTGGAGTTTAAACCCCTGTGCTCAGCACTTAAGAATTAGAGGCTGCACAGCACTAATGCAAATACTGGGAAAGATGCACCTGGGATGAAGTTGTTAAGTTTTTAGTGTTTGGTTTGTTTTTTTCCTTAAACTCAAACTCTAGTGGCTGACAGTGCTTAAGGATCTTGAGTAAATGTTGGTTATGATCTGTGGCTTAGCTCAGTCTGCAGAAGAGTTTAACTTGGTGTTGAATGACCAAATTTAGTATGCTTTCAGTAGATTTCAGGTGCCTTTCTTAAGATCTTGCAGCATATTTTTAAAAAAATCTTGATGCAGTAGCCAGCACTTCTATGTTCAGTCAAGCAGCGAGTGCCTAGCGCTGTTGTAATGTGCACTGATGCCTATCCAAGTAAAGCATTTTAGCACTAGGTAACTTGCTGTTTTAAAAAATATTTTGTCGTGTTTTGAACATGAGTAACTGTACAACCTTATATTAAAAACAAAGTAGCATTTGGGATGTTGGTAGTTCATATAACTAGTTGCTGGGTTTTTTTTAATGAGGAGCCTGGCCATAAATTTGTATTGACTTACCCAGATTATTACAGTGCTTTTAAAAAATTAGATTGTTAAGATATTTGCCTGTACTTTTAAATGATTTTTTTAAACTCATAGGAACCTATGTTTTCTTTTCTTTTCTTTTCTTTTCCTTCTGTTTTTAAAGATGGTCAGTGGGATTTAACAAACTACCACCTCTTAGACCTGGGCCGGCCACATCATTCGATAAGATGTATGACAGTGGTACATGACAAAGTCTGGTGTGGCTACAGGAACAAAATCTATGTTGTTCAACCAAAGGCCATGAAAATAGAGGCAAGTTAAATTGGTGTTTTAAAATAATTAAAAGTTATATTTTAATGCCATCTCATGCTACAGCTCAAACTCCAGAGTAACTCCAGAGAACAGTTACTTGTTCATCAGTACAGAAACAAGCAACTAAAGAAATTTGTTTTGGGAAGTACTATTACATTTTCTTAAGATGTTTTTATTGTTTTGGAAGATTTTAAGCTATGATGAGACAGTTCTCATTTATTGAAACCAATTTTGGGGGGGTTTAGTTCTCTACTTCTAGCTGGCCAGGAACTAGAAAGTGTCCTTGTCCAGAGCTTGTAAGGCTAGCATGCCTCATGATGTTCTGCACCTACGTGTAGCCTTCTCTATAATCTGTCTTTGCATACTTTAGAGGTTTGTAAGTGTTAATCTTGAATGTACTCTCCGGTTATAGAATAGTTTGTATAAGGTGTGTAAGCTGGTGTTTCTGCAGTGTTGTATGTGTACCTGACAGCTCAAGTACAGAAAGTGGCTAAGGTTTCTGAAAGCCATTAGCAGTATTAATACTTCAGCTTCTGCTAATTGGCCTGAGATATGGGCCAGACCTTTTGAGGGTGACTGCTCAGCTCTTCTGAAAGTATCAAGCACCCAATCAATAATCTCTTTTTGTGAAGAAGACTATATAGATATGTATGGGAAAACTGAAATGAAGGAATTCATACAACAGTGAAATTAATTGTTTTGATGGTGGATAGTGTGTATTTTGCAGGGTGGGTTTGTATGCAAGAGCAAGGCTTGACAAAATTAGAAAGAAAATGGGCATATGTATCTCATGCCGTGACAGGAGGACCTCATACCAAAAAGGTTCCAGTTTAAGTGGAGACGGAAGCCAGAGTAGCCTGGGCTATGATAAGTAAATGAAGACACAGTAGGAAACTGTGGCTTTGAGATCACAGTCCAGGGAAGGGAATCGGCATTTTTACTATTATTTAACCAGCATCATATAGTAACTGTAACTCAGCTAAACACTGTATCTGCTAGTGATCTTGCAAATCAGAGTGTTGTAGTTGAGTTAAGAAAATTGCTAGTATTGACCATGTAAGAGTAACAGAGAAGTCTTTCCTACTCTTTCCTTTGTTTCATCTTCTCCTTTAAAATCCAATCTTTTGTAGAAGTCATTTGATGCACACCCAAGAAGAGAAAGCCAAGTGAGACAGCTGGCATGGGTGGGTGATGGGGTATGGGTGTCTATTCGTTTGGACTCCACCCTGCGTCTCTATCATGCGCACACATATCAGCATCTACAAGATGTGGACATTGAACCTTATGTAAGCAAAATGCTAGGTAAGTTGATAAGAAAAACTATTGTATTCTTACATCTCTTGCTGTCTGAGATTTCTTTTCCTGTTATGGATCAGGCTATTCTCCCTCCAAACTAAGGGGAAGAGTGGGTGGAAGGCTAGTCAAATCTTGTTTGTGAAAACTTGAATCTGGAAGTAGAAGCCTAAGTCAGTCTGTAAAGCATGATGAGGATGATAGATCTTCTGATAGTCTGATCCTACCTGATGTCTGAAGTGCCCCTAAAAACTCAGAACTAACAAGGAAAATGGTGGTTGGGTTGGGCAGGTGTCAATAGAAATACGAAAATCTTTCTCTTTTTTACGGTACTGATACCTTTTTTTTTTTAAATCTAAGAGTGGGAAGAATCCATTACTTGTCTGGAAAAATTCCCTCTTTGTCAAGAAAATACAAATGCAAAATAGCAAATTTTTATTGCTATTGAAGTTAATAAGCGTTCTAATTTTTTTTCATTAATGCTTATGTAAGAACAGTTTGACCACCTATAACACAACAAATACAGGTAATTGGGCCGTGGGAAATCCTTCACAAGTAATTACTGTTCCACTGTGCTTAGCTGGTCAGCCACCTTCTGCTCCCCTCATAGTGCTAATGGCTAAGAAATTAATTTTAATGGATGAGGAACCATTATCTTACATCTGTAAACTCACCTTTTTTTTTTTTTTTTAAAGGCTGCCCTAGTACTGTAAGCCCCAAAAGATATTATTGTGCAGCATTATGGAGCTGTTATAGCTTTTGTGCTTTCTCACAGTTAATGTTAGTCTCTTTCTGTATAAGTTCACAACTTAATTAACAGAGTGTTTTAGCCTTTTAGGTTATCTTTACAATTTAAATGTACTCCTCTACCTTGTTTCTGTTTGAAGTGGGAGGGAATTACTGGTCTGCGTGATTTGGGAGTTGGAGTTAAGATTCTCTGTTATGGAACTAAAATTATTCTTGCTCATAATTTTTGATGAAAAGCATCTTTTGTTTTTAGGTACTGGTAAACTGGGATTCTCATTTGTGAGAATCACAGCTCTTATGGTGTCTTGTAATCGTTTATGGGTAGGAACAGGAAATGGTGTCATCATCTCCATTCCATTAACAGAAAGTAAGTAAAATATAAATGAATAGCACTGTGCAATATGCTGTAGACACAAAAAGAGAATATTAAACACTATTCAGATGCTTGCTAATGGATAGAAAGCTTTACTGCCAGGTCTGAATCTTTCAGGTTTGTAACAGATTGGGCCTGTGTGATGCTTAGCACCTAATCTGTGTACGCGGTTACAATTACTCTGAGCAAAAAAGCACATCTCCAAAATCTTCTGTACTTCAATTTGAGCAGAGTTGGTGTGGCTTGAATGAAAGAGACACTTTGAAGCCTTAGAAGGTGTTAGGAGCATTAGCAGCATTTATAGAAGTTTATTGCTTATAAGAGATGGCTTTAGTTTTCTAATTAATGTTACTTTTGATTGCTGTATGATCACCGAAGTAGACTTTTGTTTGATTTGAGCAAGTTGATATTGTTGCTAATACAATTTGATTGGCTTTAGTTCTTGAGAATTCATCACAAAGCTGGTATAAAGGACTGGAACAGCAGTAGTACCAACTGCCTTAGAGGATGTATTCAAAGTTACAGGAATTGTAAACACATTCTACAAATAGGCACTAGCTTCTAGGTAAAATTCCAATAATGCAAATCCAGATATCTGCTTAATAACAGACCCCAAACTCTTCTCATAGGCTGAAACTACTTGGGGGTGGGAGAGAAAGCATTCAGACATGGGCAGCTGAACCTTGGGAGAAGGGAACAGTCCAGTTCAAGGGCAAAAGACATCTTAAATAGGTAAAGCTTGAGAAGAATCTCTGTAAAAACTGATTGCATTTAAAACAACAACAAACCCCAACACCTGTGCCTGAGACTAATGTTAAAATAGATGGACAGAAGTTTCAGACAATGGAATACGGAACTTTAATAGTCCTAATTGTACTGTTATATAGAAAGTAGTACAGTCTGACAACTCTTCATGTTGTATCTGCTTTGTTGAACAGCACATACATGCGTTGTTTCTCATACTGTTCCATTACATTGTCCATCCATTCAGTAAATGTCTTTTTTTGCATTGCATGAATGTACTAAGGAAGGACAGACTTCCTATCATGAATTTGAAATGGTTTAAATCATGCTTTCAAAAATTATAGCTCTTAATTTGCGTCAAGTTTTATTTAATGTTTCCAGAGGAGTTTAAAACAGTAGTGAACATGAAAAAAATCCCTATTAAAGCTGTTCAGTTTAATTTCAGTTTTGTTAGTTGTTCATGAATAAGAACAACCGTTTGTGGGTAGCCTGATAGTGGGTTTGAGAGCCCTTGTTGCAATATTCATCGTTTTCAGAAACAGTCACATCCTTGCATAAGCAATTGCATTTCTCAGTTCCCTGGGTCTACAATAGCAGGGCATCTTCGAGATCTGCAGATGATATTTTGAAAGGGCACTTGAAAACATGAGTTGTTATATATTATTTTGGTAGCTTCCTGCCAAGGAAAGAGAGAAAGGGGAAACATCGCTAATCAATAATAAACTTTATAGCAATAAAGCACGTGAAAGTGGCAGTGCTTTTGTTGTCCATTTTGTACTGAAACTTACAACAAGATGCTGTTCTTTGACTTTTTATTGAATCTTCTGTAATTAGATATTTGCTGTTTCTAGGAGCTAAAATTTTAAGCTCTACCTTATCAAAAACCAAAATACAAGAGTGGTGGGTTCTCATTAATCCTTCTCCTCTACTGTCATACCTATCCATTTCCCCTTTCCTCCTTTCTCACTTTAGCTGTAATCCTCCACCAGGGACGTTTACTGGGGCTGAGGGGTAAGTGCAGATCCTGAACAAAAATCTATTTTCAGGCTTCTAATAGCCACTTTGAGGCTGTTTCCCACTCCTTATAGATTTACCCTTTGTATGTTCCTAAATGTTTTTCCACTTGCAGTTACTGCATTGCAGCAGTTTTATGTTTGCTAAATGGCCACCAATCTGCTCAGCAGTTTAGTATATCATCCTGTGTTGCAGCTGAACTTTCATACAGACTTTGTTTTTCTTCCAGCCAATGTGATACCATATCTTATAACTTTGTCATTAATCCACATCATTTTCTGTCTTGTTACAAATCACTGTTTCTTTCACTACTTTGGTAGTCCTTGGAATGGAGATGGCTTGTATGTCTAGCATGAGTACTTCTCTGTTTTAATGGATTTTTAAAACTTCTCAGTAAAAACTAGATGTAGAATTCTAATAGGGTAGCTCCTTCATGCCCACAGGTGGCTATTTTTAGAGAATTTTTTCTGGCAAGGGGACACCCTATGATTAGTTGGAATGAAACTGTCTTTAATTATGTGCTTAAGTACATTGAATTTGCTTATACTGAAACACATTAGAGGTACTTATTTTCTATGAAAGATACAGTCCTCTCAAATTATTTTTTTTCAAAAAGTAGGATATTAAAATCTGGTGTTTATGCTAGACTAATAAGAATCCTGCTCCATTTTCTAATGTACTTAAAATAACGAAGCATGCAATCTTTTTTCTTTCCAGCTCTGTCTTGAATTGGCATTGCTGCCCTCCTGTTTCATTTTTATCTAAGTTGGCTTTAGCTTTTAGATGGTACCATAAGGTTTTTTAACAAATAACCATTTCTGTAATTTGTATTTTCAAGTAGAAAATACTTTTCTTTTACAGCTAATAAAGCAGCAGCAGGCTCCGGAAACCGTCCGGGGAGTGTAATACGTGTATATGGTGATGAAAACAGCGACAAAGTGACTCCGGGAACATTCATACCATATTGTTCAATGGCACACGCACAGCTTTGCTTCCATGGACACCGTGATGCTGTTAAATTCTTTGTCGCAGTACCTGGTGAGGTTTTATTACCATTTTTAAAAAGAAACATTATTTGCACCCTCATTTGCTTAGTTAAACATAGTGTTTAGGCAAAGATAGCAAGTGTATGAAATGATACACTCAGAAACAGTTCATTATATTTCATTTACAAGACTCGTCTGATTCCTAAGTGCAGTATTGTTTAATGGGAGGAAAAGGGTTTGGTCAAAAAGAAAGAAGTGCTTTGCTTCCATCTGGGAAAAATGTACTGTGGTGAGTACTTGCCTATTAAGATGACAGTCAACTGCTAATTGATGTAAAGTCCAATTTAAGAGTGACATCCTGCAGGAAGGATGAGCTGCTAAGGGGGAAGCCCCCAAAGGAAAGACTCTCAGTTGAAAAAGCTAAGAGTTTCCTAGAAGCTGCAGTGCTGGCTGAACACCCTCTCAGTGCTTCTGTGCATCTCGTGTGCTGGCAATAAATGACAGAAGTTTGCTTGCTGGTCTGACATGCACCGAATCATTTCGGTTGTGTGCCTGAAAATCTAAGTGTGTTTCAGTGTAATTTTTCTAGATCTGCATGCCTGTGCTGTGAAATCTATTGAGGTATTTAATTCTCTGATTTGCATTGAACTGACCTTAACAGATTCTTCATCTCTTTAGAGAGGTGAAATCCTGGTCTGACATGCACTGAATCATTTTGGTTGTGTGCCTGAAAATCTTTAAGTGTGTTTCAGTGTAATTTTTCTAGATCTGCATGCCTGTGCTGTGAAATCTATTGAGGTATTTAATTCTCTGATTTGCATTGAACTGACCTTAACAGATTCTTCATCTCTTTAGAGAGGTGAAATCTGAGCAAAGCTAGCTTTCTGTCCCTTGCTGAAGAGATAGTAGAATTCAAAGTTAAGTGTATCGTTAGGAATTAAATATGTCATCCAATGACCAAATACAGGTGGTATTATTCTGTGAAATGTGGCATAAAAATGTATTCTGTTTTTAATTCAGGTCAGGTTGTTTGCCCACAGAACAGTGGTGGAACAGAGGTAACAGCTGATAAACTGGCCCAAGAGTCCTTCAACCAGAGTCCCTTAAAATCAATGTTGGTGATAAGCGGTGGAGAAGGCTATATTGACTTCAGAATGGGTAAGAAAACTGAGCTTAAAATCAGTTGTAACCTCTTCATACTGAAAGGTCATTAACCATGTAATAAATTCCATTGTGATTGCAAAGTGCATTTGTGCGGTCAGTCAGTACATAGTCTTTACTAAGCAAGTGCAAGGATAGAAGTGTCTTTATTCTCAGACACGCACCCCCCCCTTCGTCCGCTGCTTCTCCTCCCAATAAACCATGACCTCTGAGATGACTGTGTAAAAAGGTTTATTTGAAGCTCTGTTTTGGAGTCAAGTACTGCCTTACCGTTCATGCTTTCAGTCTTACTTTGACAGGTTAGTCTTCTACCTCAAACTGCTGGAAAGCATGCCTTTAGTTACTTAAATATGCAGACTGACTATATAAAAAAGAAGTCATGTATTATGTGAAGAAGACTCAAACTAAAATTTACTCATATTTGAGTGAAAAGGGAAAAAGAAGTTCACTGTTACCTTTGCATGCTCTTATTTTGATCACTGCTTTTCTTGGATAGCACTTTTGCATGATCTAGCCCATAAAAGATTTCTTGTGTAAACATTTTTTTTTTTTAATTGAAGCTTTGAGGGAAATATAAGAAAATGAGAGTGGTTGTGGTTCTATGCGTAGAATCTGCAGCTGGAGACCTTGACAAAAAATGCATAAAATGGAGTGTCAACTCCTAGACCTGGTTTTGACCTTTTGCCTAAATTTATAGTGTTTTGCAAAAACAAACAACAACAAAAAAGGCACAAAAACCACTACAAAGAAAAACCCATGAAGGCCAGCCCAAATTCTGTCATCCCACTAGTCAATGAAAAACAAGTTCCTGCTGGTAACCCCAGTTAAGTTACACAGGAGGCAGGACTGGAGGCAATTCTGTGCCACACTGTAGTGAGTACTAAAAACTCTGTGCTTATTCCAAGCAAGCAGGTGTAGCCACATACTGAATGTGTGTTTTGCTGTCCTTGTGGCATGATGCAAAGCCATGAACTTAAGCGTCAGTATTATAGCTGCATTAGCTCAGCCATTACCATGTTTGTGCAGCAAACTGACCCAAGAGCAAGTTCAGGCTAGTCTATGTTTAGATTCTTCAGACTTTCAAAGTAGTCTAACCAGAAAACCGGCCAAACTGTGACTTGAAACCTTCCTGAAGTTGTAGGTCAGTTCCCATTTCATCTGATTAAACTGACATTCTTCTGTACCACAAGAGTGCCTCTGTATTGATGTTTATTACTGTCTATGTGCAGTTTTGTTCAGTGGTTAGTCTGTCACCTTTGTTCCAAGTCAGCTCATGTCACCAGGAGTTTAATTGCAGTTACAAAACTGCTCTTCTCTTTTGAAGAGCAATAATGGAGGATAGGCTTAAGGCTGTCTTGTGCCAGTGTGTGCAGAGTTGTGACAAGCAAGGATAACTACAACAGGAGGAAAGGAGGGGAAAGGTTCATCATAGATGTGAACATTGCATTGTCTCACTTGTGCTCAATTACTGCTCTCTTTTCCAGTGCACTTTGTATGGTTTATGTGTTTATGCTAGCACACTTTCTCATAGTATAACCATCTCCATTTCTGCCTGGGAGGTACTGCAACTTTGGAAATTAGGTGGTTTTTTCTTTGGCTTAAAGAGTTATAAGTAATGAAATGTGTAGAACATGGATACTTATGAAACTGCAGTCAATTTTTGTGACTAGAACTGAATCATAGAATTGTTACAGTTGGAAGAGACCTCAAAGATCATCAAGTCCAACCTTCTACCCAACGAGAATAGGTCCATCAGAATACTAGGCTGTGAAATAATTATGCAAGAGACTTTCAATTTGTAATGTGTATATTCACAATCTTGAATATGCTTTTATATGAGCATTTGGCAGTAACTGTGTCTTACAGTGTTTTTCTTGTAAACCCAAATGTCACTTGTCTTGCTCCATTTGGTGTTAATACTATTTTTTATTGTCTGTCTGAATCAAAGCTGTTGTTTTTCAGGTGATGAAGGTGGAGAATCTGAACTCCTTGGAGAAGCTCTACAACTTGAACCTTCTGTAGCCAAAGCTGAGAGGAGTCACTTGATAGTGTGGCAAGTAATGTGTGGCAGCGAGTGAGCCTGTACGATGCAGCTGGAGACCTTAAAAAAAAAAAGCTTCTGCATGTTTTTTTATTTTATGAAACCTGTTTCACTACATGATGTTGAAGTATTTCTTTGCTGTTTAACTTTATATTGCAAATCTGTCATACCTTTAACTATACAGGAATTAGCTTGTGCTGTTTTACTGCACCTGTGTTACATGGAACAGTATAATGAAATCAGATCTTTTTAAAAACTGGTGCGCACACCATGGTAAACAACTGAGACATTACTTTTACTGTACCACAGCAATCTAATGTATTTCACTTCTTTGGTAGTCTCACTTGAGTTCAGCTTTATTACAACTGAGCTTCATTTCACTGTATAATGTATTGAGTAAAACAGCAAAGTTATTTCCAGAATATTAAAAAATTGGCAAATTATAAGATGGATTATTAAGACTCATCCAAATATTCAGTGAGGGCTAAAGTAAACTGTAAATTTCAGCTTTTGTTTTCAAACCTGGAAAATCTTGCTTAGTGTATATTGTTTAATTTGTTACATTCATCAGAATTTCTGGGGGGAAGAGGGGATTGTATAGGAATTAAGATAATATTTAAATAAAATCATATGTTTTCACTATTGAACATTAAAGTTTGAGAACTGCTGCCCTCAATGAGTAATTTTGAGCATAGTGTTTTTCCATTTCCCTGATATGGAACAAATTGCTTTCCGAAGGGTATTCTTAGGATTATTTTAATTTGAAAAGAACTGTAAAATTCTTGAACAGGGGATATGTTTTGTTCTTTTCTTGTCTTAACTCCGAAGCACTAGAATGATCTTCTCTGCCTAGCTGGTCAAACTCATGAGGCACTATGTGTGTGAAGGTTAGAGACCTCGATTAGAGTGTGAGAAAAGACTCGAGAGTGTACAGGAAAAATGCATTCTGCCTGAGTGAGATTGTAAAGGAATTTCAGTGCCAGATAATTAGGTACAAAATGTATTTTTTGTAGTTGCATACCCCAATGTAGTAAAAAAAAAAAATATAAAAATGTTTAGTGACAATGTTAGCAGGTAGCACTAAGATGGAGTAAATTGATGAAAGTCAGGAGACTCTAATATTAGGCTGACATTCTGTCTACTCACCGTCTATTTTTTTAACCATAAGTGTGAGTTGAAGACTGTCTTCCTTTTACATTGAATTTCCTACATTAGTATCAGACCTAAGTTGAACACTTAATGATTTCTGTACTTCATAATATTTTAAAACTCTTTGCTCTTTCATTTAGTATCTGGAAAGTAAAAGTTTTGAGGGGTTTTAATAAACATCCAGCGTTTACCCCCAAAAGGCTGGGACTGTTCTGTTCAGTCTAGCAGAGAAATTTAGTAACTTGATTATATGAGAGAACTGAACAGTTTCGGAGGAGTAAATATAGAAACACTTTTTTAAAACTGCCTAAACATTTTTATGCAATAGGAGCAGTTCTGGTCTATCAGGCAAACATGTGTTTATATATTTTCTTAATTTTTTAAATGAACACATTTAGCTGAGGTCTATTGTGTAAATATATATTTAGGCAGCTTTTTCAAATGCATATCATAGCTGATAAACCAGAAAAACTCCATTCAGGTCTATTGGTTAGATTTATATGTATAAATACTTTTTAAGCGACATATTTTGTACACAGCTGTTCCTCTCGTAAATATGTATTTAGGACATGAACTATGTAGTAAAAATCCTTATTAAAGATGTCTAATATCTTGGTAGTATTTTTCTCTTCAGAATGCCAAAAGTGATGAGAGCATGTTGTTCATAATTTGCTTTCCAAATTCATCTTTAACGTCACTCTTAAAGTACTTTGGCTTAAATATAAAGTCTGGGAGTTTTTTAAAAATTATACAAATACAGAAAGTAAACTCAGTAAACACTCTTAGAAAGACCTATTTAAAACTTACATAGGCATGTATGCTGAACCTGAAGCACATCTGAATTAACTTACGAGATTGGATGTCTAAGAAAAATGCTGTCTAAACTTTTACTGTTGTGCAGATTCTTCACTGTGAGTGGTGCAGTTTCATTGCTTCTCCTGCCATTTTCTTAATTTTATTTTTTCCTCTTTGGAAAACACAGTCTCCAAAGCTTCTGTTCACTGATTGATTGTCACATTCTCATGTTCTCAGAAAAAAACGCACAATTCTTTTCCTTGGTTCTTGTATAGCATTTTATTTGTAATTAGCGATGAGCTGTTTTCTCTGAACGGCTTTACTGCTATCAAATAGAGCAGTGCAATCTGGCAAGTGTGTACCTGGTCTTTTGCCAAATGTATCTGGTCCACCGTGCCATTTTAGTCACCTCAGTGGACCAACTCTTGCAAATTTTTCATAGAATGATTGTTTCTGTCCAGAAGTGGAAGGCTTTTAAAGAAAACAGTAGGTTAACTATGTACCACTGTGGGTGTAGATAAAAGGCATGTGCACTTCTCTGTATTTCTCATTTTAAAACTTTATCCCCTGTCCTAAGGTACAGTAGATTAAATGGGTCCCTATTGTCATCACAGTGTGCTGGGATTTATAAACTCTACTTAAGGTCACTTTGGTGAATAAAGCATGCAAAACCCCAAGCATTGAGATGACAATACACTCCTACAAATCCGTCTCAAGAATGTGTTTATGCATACACTCATGTGATTAAAGCATCATATAAATAGGAGCTAATCTCTTGATAGCTACAGCTTGTTAATAGTTTGGAAACATTTCGAGCACAAAATATGCAGCACATTACTTGCCTGGTTAAGGGTGTTTGCATGGTAAAGGTGAAATGCGTTGTATAAGCTGCTGCGTTGTCCATTTCTTGTAAAGGTCTTCCTGCGTTGGATCAGATAGAGCTGGCAGAGCGTAGACACTTTATCATAGGCTGCCTTAGTAACAAACAAATGTTAAATCTGTTTTATTATACTAACTGTTCTAAAGAACGTGTGTCTTTTAAAATGCTGTGTAACTGAGTATTTATTTCCATGTGAGTATTATAAAAGCTACCAAAGGATTAAACCTGACTTAGCACTCTTGTAAGCGGCCCTGTTGAGACAGGGTCTTGTGAAGGCCCTGCGCTGTAAAACAAGACACGGTAAACTCAAATACAGTTCTTTAGGGAAATTAAATGTTTTTTCTAACAGGGTTATGCCATATTGTAACAACCTATGTTGCACCTCAAAGCATTTTTCTATACACTAAATGTCTCTCCCGCCCTCTAACAAGATTAAGTTTCCTTTATTAATTTTGTTGATGCACATTTCTCAATCTTTTAAACATATATTTTAAACATTTTATGGTCTGTAATTTTTGAAAGTTTTGTCTGTTGGACACTTTACGCTGAATTTTACTTGCCTCTGTAATCCGAGATGGATACTACAGCGTTAAACTTGCTGTCTGTCAAAACTTGAGGCTTCTTTTCTGTGAGCAGGAAAGCTCATATAGCAGTGTAGTTATTTCAGTATTTATTTCTATTATTGAATCCATGGGGTTCAGAATGTAACTTTGTACATGAAATATATATAAATATGTATATGAAACATGCATTGGATTGGTGTGTTCTTTGCAGTCTCATGTTAAGTTCAAAAGTTTTGGATGCTACTGGAAGGCATAATAACGGGGTATTTTACACTAGCAGCCAGATATTGCCATCATAAATACAGGCAGTAATATATTTGAACCAGCCTACAACTAGTGTGATCCTGCTGTCTCATACTGGGTCTAAGCAAAAACTCTGAAAAACTTTGTTCACTGACTGCCAAATGATGCCATGCTGTCTTCGTCTCTTACGTGACCCACAAACCTGCTGATTCATAGGAGAAGAATCTACAGGAGATCTGCTTAACTGCCGTTCTGATGAAATAGGCACTGGAATTTATTTTTCAGCTTTTCTTAACACCTTACCAAAGATTCATCTAAGCTCCACTGCAAAGGAAATAGTGTATTTATAAGGCAGAAGAATGAGGACTCGGTGACAAGACATTAATTTGTACTGCAGCAACAGAACACTTGGCTAGAGACAGGTTTCAGTATTTTTTTTTTCCTGGCTCATCTGCCACTTTCTAACCACATTTGTCCCAGCACTGTATCTTGATTAGTATGTAACAAGTGGCCATGCCACTGAAGATACTTGGTTAACCTTTGTTGTAATGCAAGGAAAGCACTGGCCCTGGTGTGCTGGAGGCACGGTGTTGTCCAGTCCCTTCCCTTGCCTGTGCGAGTGTGCAAGCACATGTTACTCTTGCTTCTCTCTGGCAGTAGTGATGGACACACATAAACTTGTTGCTTTTGAATACCTCGAGGAAGCAAGTACTTCATACTTGTATGTGGAAACATGGGAATCATCCATGGTTCAGAAAATGCAAAGTGTCCTGTTACCAGTGCTGTACCAACTTGAAGTTTTGGCATCTTGGTGCTTTAAAAAAAAATAATCTTTTTGCTCATTTACTGGAGCTTTCTCATAAGATTTTTTGCCTCTCCAGAACAGATGTACTGATAAATTTCCCTCTCCTCACAGTGTTTATTCTTGGTATGTGTCCATTCACATGCATGTCACGTCACTGCACTGTGCTAAGACATGTGTGTGTATGTATTAAATAGGAAGAAACATCATAAATCTTTAGTCTGGAAATGTTTAAGCTCTTCTGGCAGCCCTGACAGCCTCTCAGGTCTGTGGGTAAGTAATTTAATTTTTCAGATCCTGTATTGAGAGAGAAGTGCTAATAGAATTGTGAACTAGCTTAAGGTGTTACAAATGATATTTGGAGACTGAAGTTTTAAGCTATTATAAATACCCAAGCCCTTCCGCAGTGAACATGGTGATAATAGGAAAAGCACTCTCAGTTTCTGTAACAGATTTTTTTTAAAATTTCAGTTGTATCAGTCTCCTATAAAAAGAGGTATTCAAACTAGAATATGTGAAATGTTAATAATCATACAGGAAATTAAAATGTTTCAATGTGAATGCTCTTTATTGGAAAATACTTTTTTGCTGGAAATTGAAACTTGAATTTATTGAGAGAGAATGAGATGCTTCCCATTTTCTACAATGGAATAGCAAACCAAAATGAAGGATTCTTTTTACCATCATCCCCCTTTTTGAGCATCCTGTAATCTATTTGAAAGCTATTTGAGCAATACAATCTGTAAACGTTATTTAACATTATGATGATCTCTGATGCACAAGTGCCCCTTAATTCTACTGTAAAACAAGCTTTGGGGGCGCCTTTTGGCCTTGGACCAATTCATGGCACAGCCTTCAGGACTTGTTGCAATTTTGCATGGTTATACTTAGCTTCTTAAAAAGCTATTTTGAGATGACAAACCCAAGTATGCAAATTGTTTTCCTGCTTTTCAAAACACTGTAAAGTGATGGTGGGAAGGGACCTGATGAGAAGTGATGTAGATCGTTGGTTGTTACGATCTGCTTGTGCTTCTAGATAGGATGGAAACCCCCAGGACCAGGCACAGTCGGT